TAAGCTTTAGAGCTTCAGGCTTCGGTTTTAGGTTTCGGAACTTCGGGCTCAAGGGTTCCACGATGCGTAATCTCTTAGTAGTAGAGTAACCCTTAACCCAATACCCCTTAATTAAGGAATATATATATATATATGTATCTTAAATTTTAATATTAAGGCCCCTATAATTTAAAGGTATATTCCTTATTGGGCGCTCTGGGCAACTCTAAACCCTAAACCCTAAGAGTAGGTAACCTTGGCTCGGCTCACGGCTTCTCCGCTGGCGACGCAGCTTCTCTCACGTCATGCTTTCTTTTTGGCTTGCAAATCCTGATATAATCTCAAATTATAGGATCCTTAAGGGAGGGTGGCTTAACGGGGGAGGGTCCAAGGGAGCTTTAGGGAACCTAAGGGAGTACTAGGGAGAGTTGGGGATTACTGGGTTATATACACCCCTTAGAACCCCCTCCCTAAGGATTCCATCACCAAAGGTTAGCCTTTAGTTCCGCTAGAGTACTGGACAGCTAAGATATCGTACTTGCAACTTTGTGTGCCTACCAGGCCCTCATACACGAAGTCTCTGACGCGAAGTTCCCAAACCCTACAGGGCAAAACCTCGACACCCCTAACAACTAAGCTTCCTTTCGCTTCCTTTAGGAGCCAACCCCCAAAAGGCTCCTTTCAAGAAGGATCAGAGAGGCTCAGTACTTCGGGTGACAAGTACGGCAACTGCAGTTCTATCTACTACTGGCACCAGCGAGAGCCCTCCTAAACCCACTTCCCGGAGACTCCAATATCCCTTAATTCAGGAATGTACCCAAACTATAGTAGGATCCCTAATATGATATAAGGTATATTCCTAACTCAAGGGATATTGGAGTCTCTGGGTTCCTAAGTCCCATGATCCCGACCCTACTTGGAGGCCCAGGGGACTTTGTAAGTAGTTTTTGAGTAGAGTTATAAGTGCCCTAAATGGAGTTACCCCAATCATAACCCTACTTTTGACCGACCAACTAAGTCCCTTGGGCGTCTAAGTAAGCCCCATGATCCTTGTAGCGGCACGCATTTAAGGAAATATTTGGACATGCCGAGCCCGAAACTCTCAACCACAACCGTTTTCACGAGCTGTGGCTCAAATGAGCGGGGGAGGGCCAGAGTGGGTGGTGACCCGAACTTCCCCCGGCCCGGAATGTTTCGCCACAACCCCTCAACGCCTGAGCCTGAGCCCTAAGCCTTCAACTATTGGAACGAGGTTCTGCAACAGCTACTGGGAGCTTTACAAGACCTGAACACTAAGTTAAGTACCGCTGCCCGTAGGTTAACCTTTATAGATCGTAGCTCTTGTGGCTGGCAAAGCCCCTGTGCTGCAAAATGCCATGCCGACGCCTTAACCCGGCAAAAGCCCTCAACCCTTTAAAAACCAAAACATAAGAACCCTAAACCCGAAACACTTTAGAAGGGAAGCAGAAACTAGGATGCATGTGCCATGCCATGTGCGACTGACTTTCTTCTTGTGCCTGGCATCCTGCTGTGCAGCAGAGACGCTGGGCATTTAGGGGTTTCATGCAGAACCCTTTTCGAATGGGGTGTAGCGTTTAGAGTTTAGGCCTTGCGGCTTAGAAGCTTTCGGATGCCTAAACCTTAACAATAAAGCTTTTGAGTGCCAAGGCGTAACTTTCCAGAAGATTAGGCGTTCAGGGCTCCGGTGGTTCGTCGAACTTCTGAGAAGTAACCTTTGACTTTTCGGGGGTAGAAAAGAGACCCCCTTTATGTAATATAGGGGCCTTAATCATTACTTACCTTACTATTTTGGGGGTTCCTCAGTATAGTTATAGTATAATATACCCCCAAACTCTATTCTAGTTATTAAGGCCCCTATATTAATGGGAGAAGTAAGACAAGCTGGGTACTTGAAGGCGGTTCAGGAATTCAGCTCTGTAGCGCTTTGCACCACTAAGCCTTTCACGCCTGATCTGCAGGTCCGCGATCGGAAATGTAGGGGGAAAGGGGGGCAGCAGGGCAAAAAGCAATAGGCCCTTGTAGTCCATGATGTCAAGGCCCATTCCTTCTATTCAGGCCATGGCATAACACATATATGATCCTCCATCATAGAGCTTGCCCGAAAACTTGAAGACTTCAACGCTCTCAACCGACACCCCGGCAAACCCCACATCTCCACCCCCCGGCATGAACCAACGCTCCCGAGCCCTAAACCCTGAACCCCTAAAACCTTTGAACCCTAAACCCCCAAAACCCTCTCTCAAACCCTAAGCACTACTGTTGCTGATAGAAATCCTGCATGACCCTAAGGACCCTAAACTATGGGAATTATGGCATATTCCTCATTATGGGTAATGCAGGATTTATATCATCAACCGTATCAGCCCTAAAAGCCCCAAACCCTAAACCCTAAAACCTTAAGTGCTATAAGCCCCTCTACGCAAGCCGGAGATGCTGAGGATTGCCTTGGGAGCCCTGGCGGGATGGACGGCCTATGAGCCCGAGGAGTTGATCGGTCTCTTCGAACGCCCTGGGGGTTTGGAGATTTTTGCTGAAGGGATCTAGGGTTTAGGGTTTAGGGGTTTAGGAGTTCAGGGGTTTAGGGGTTCAGGGGTTTAGGGCTTAGGGGTTTAGGAGTTCGTTTAGGAGTTTAGGGTTTAGGGGTTTAGGGGTTAGGGCTTAGGGCTTAGAATTTAGGGTTTAGGGGTTTGGGGTCTAGGGTTTAGGGGTTTGGGGTCTAGGGTTTAGGGTTTAGGGAGCTTCCGAAAATTAGGGTGCCGTATTTTGGGGGGTTCTGATAAGAAGGATCCTACTAGTTGGGGTACTATATTCGGGTCCCCAAAACCCTATTCTAAATATTCAGGCAATCACAAAATTATAGGGTTGGATCTATAGGGGCTCCTAAGGGTTTCGGGTAGAGCGTCCCTTTCAGGGATCGAAGAGGGATGCGGGTTACACTTCCACACGCTGTCGAAGTGCCACTTGGATTGCAGCTGAGGTATCGTTGCTGCCTTCTTGGACTACCAGACGAACTGGGATGTGCACTTAGCCTCAAGGCCTGCGGCAAAACATAGCCCATCACCAATCCTGCCACCCTTCCGCTGCTGCTCCCCTGTTCCTCGTCCTCTGCCTACGACTACGACTGTGGGTATATCAGCATCAACACCGCCAATGCACTTGGATTCATGACGATTGCGAGGACGCATCGTACCACTGTGACCAATAACACAGAGACTAGTGCTCTTGCTCCTGCTGCTGCTGCTGCTGCTGCTGCTGCTGCTGCTACTGCCACATGCTGCTCCTTTTGGAGAATGCATGCTTCATGACCTTCTTCTTTGGGATCTGGTTCTGTAAGGAACCTCCGACAACACCCGAAACAAAGCCGAAGGATCCAAACTCCAGCTGCAAGCCTCAAATCCGAATCCCTAGCCGAATGAATTCCATCGTGTGGTCCCGTGAGTTTCTTGGCGCTGATGCCTCTGATATAGCGGCCTTAATAGTTAGAATAGGGTTTTTGGTGATATAGTATTATACTTATAATAAGGAACCCGCAAAATAGTATAGGTGATTATTAAGGCCCCACATTATCCGAACTGATACCACCCCTGAGCCTTCAACTGGCACACAACCTCGTACCAACCAATCTGTCAGCTGTCCGAAACACCTTCAAAAGATTTCATAAACCCTGCAGACCCTAAACCCTAAACCTTAGACCCCAACCCCTAAACCGTCTGTATAGCCTCGTTCTTCGCCCACCTTTCTGTGCTTTGAGGCTGGGCCCCGCCATCATCGATCTCCCGGGCGGGAAGCACACGAATGCCCGGCTTTGGGGATACTGTAGGCTTTAGGGCTTCAGAGTTTAGGGTTTAGGCTTTTACTCTGGACCTTAGAGTTTATTGAAGGTTGGGGGTTTAGGGCTTACTGTAGGGTTTTGGGTTTTGGGTTTCGGTGGTTCTAGCGGTGATTCTTAGTGTCTTGGTTGTAGAATTCCGTTTCGGTGTGATTCATCCGTCAAGCATCCTACTAGTTGGGTCTGTATAGGGTCCCACAGTTTTCAATTCTCTCCCTCAACCCTAGACCCTAAACCCTGTGAATTCTGGTCCCATGCGGATTTAACGTATATCCCTTAATTAAGTGTAAATTTTTTGTTGCTTAATAATATGATTTAAGGTATATTCCTTAATTACGGGGTAAGAAATATTTTTACTCATTATTATGATTTAAGGTATACATGCCCGGTAATAAAGTTTCGTCGCATCCGCTTAGAAACACTAAGCGGAGTACGCGGAGTACAGCAGGTGAGGAATACCCTAGCCTGGCTAGCGGAGGAATTATCACACCCGAATGAAATTATACTATTA